GAAGAGAAGAGAAGAGAAGAGAAGAGGAAGAGAAGAGGAAGAGAAGAGAAGAGAAGAGAAGAGAAGAGAAGAGAAGAGAAGAGAAGAGAAGAGAAGAGAAGAGAAGAGAAGAGAAGAGAAGAGAAGAGAAGAGAAGACACAGAAAAGCTTCACACCAGTATCAGAACTAAATGGGGTAACACCTTCCTACAAAGCTAGGATGGCCAGGATTTTCCATGCTGTCCATGAAAAATCCATGTCTGGAGCCACCAGACAAACACTGAAATGCCATGGCAATATTTAGCCAGGCAGAGCGAGGGGGCTGCAGCCTCTCTTTTGCTCCCCACTGCTTGCACCTGGGCAGGGGGGCAGTGGGGGATGCAGAACCCCCTTCCATGGCAGCATCCATGAAGGCATGGGCACACAGGGGCAGAACAGTGTTCCCCAAGGACCTTTGCATTCAGAAGGACCCTTTCTTCTACCCCAGCAGCATGGCTCAGGTCTTGCATCTCTTTTTCCATGCAAAATTCGAACATTTAATTAAAAAGTTGATGTGACGCCCATGAGTGCCTTACGGGTCCATCCTGTCAATCCCCCACAGCCCGGGGCTGGAGCTGATAACCCTCCCAGCCTCTGAGTTCATTCAAGCAGCAAATGGCAACTAATTCACAAAGGAGAAGATGCTCCAGTTACAGTGAGGGTTTAATCAGCAACGAGGGGAGGTTTCATTAATCACCCATCTCGCTGCTCTGCAGTTCGAGGGCGAGGAGGCAGTGACAGAAATGGGGTCCCTCATCTCTGTCCCACCCCACCGCTCCTCACCAACAAGGCATTGACGGATGGATGCTCATCCATCCCTGACATCCAACAAAATTCAAAGGCTGCAGAAGAGAATGTCTGTATTTTGACACATGTATCCAAGGAATCAGACTGCCACCCAGGTCCACCACCCGCCCAGGGGAGACTGTTCCTGGTGTGAGGCTGTGCCCCCACGATGCTTTCACCCCCAAGGCACAGCTCTGAAGAGAAACACCCACCCCCCGTGCCTCGTAAACACGGCGATGATTGAGATAATGGAAAGTGCCTCTTAGCCCCTGTCTGCTGCATCAGGATATGAGGCATCTCCTAGCAGCCATGAAGAGGAAATTAATAGGAGCAAGCAGGAGTAACCACTTTGATGCAATTTCCTTGGGAGATAGTGGACCATCTAATCTTTATTGGAGCCCTTTAACCTGTCATTCAAAACTCATGAGGCCTCCTGCTCACACAGCCTTTCCAGATATTAATAGATGATAAAAAGGAATAAATCAAAACAATATTTTACAATTTCATTATTCAGGAGATTCCCCCCACCCCCAGCCTAAGGCGCACAACTGGCTGCAATGAACTGTTTCTTTCCAACAGCAATAAGAGCTGAGTGGGGACGTGGCATCCCAGAGGGACCAGCCACCATCTCCCACAGCCCTTCTTCTTCCCCACCACAGGGAGACTGAGGAGTCCTCCAGATCCTAACACAGCCATCCCACACGTATGGCATCTTAGGGACACAGGGCCATAGCCCACCACCTCCTGTAGGCAGACAGTGAGACCCGTGGAGTCACCACTCCGGGCAGGACACAGGAGGGCTTGAGGGGGACCTTCAGGATGCCAGAGCGGAAGGCAGCGGGATGCAGACCCCTCCCCGATCCACAAACACAGCCCTATGTCCCACAACAGCACAAGGAAGCACAAAGAGACACCAGACACACGTGCCAGGAGACACAACCACATGTGGACACCGAGACTTTGAGGTGGATCTCCAGTTCTTCACCTCTCCCTTCCCACCAGCAGTGACCCACCATGTCCCAGTGGCCTTGTGCTCCCCCCAGGATGCCTGAGCATCTGTGAGATGTGCAACGGGGACCTGTGGGCTCTGGAGCTGGAAGATGTGTCAGAAACATGCCTGAAATGTGCCAGGAGCAGGACAGGGAGGGTGGCAGTACCAGGGAACAGCCACCTGTATTTTAATGGGAGAGGATGGGAATGGGAGGGAGGAAGATGAGAGGGTCACAGCGCTGTGAACACACCTCAGTGTTAAGCTTAGGGGCATGTTGGTGGGTTGGTTGAAGAGGTTCGTTAGTATTTAATTACAATTAATTCAAGTGATGCTTTGTCAAAACACCTGAACATAGTACCCTGCAACCCAGTGTCCGCTGGTTTCTGTTATCACTTCACTTATCCACAAATTCCTGTAATCTGCAGGCACGTGGCTCTTAATTGCTATTATTACCAATTAGCTTTTCTCTTCTGTAATTACACCATGCTTGCCTAAAGCCTCCCACAGTTTGGGGAGAGGCTGATGCCTTCTCCATCCTCCCAGTGCTGCACAGGCTGCAGCCCTCCACTCTTGCTGCTGCCCTTGTCTCCCCTCTTTCGAGGGGAGTTGAACCATGAACCTCAGACCAAAAATGAAGCACAAACCCCCAAGGCCCTGCAAGGCCATGGTGGGATCCATAACCCTTCGGATCCATAACCCTCACAGTCCAGTGCAGGGCTCGGATGGAGGGCTTGAGCCCAGGAGGGAGCAATAAATCACCCCACTAATGGCCAGAGCAACGTTTGTCCTCATTTAAGGGCTGCTCCAAGATTTTCCCAGAGCTGGTGGGGTCTGTATCCACAACAGTGTCTCAGACAAGCACGGGATGAGGCTCTGCCTCAGCTTTCCCTGCAGGAAGGGGCTCCTTCTGCGGGTGCCCAGGCTACAGCACAACCTGCATCTCTTCTGCTCTGAGGAGAATTAATTGATTGTTGATTATGTGGGCTGGATAAGATTAATGATGTGCTTAACTATCCATTTCCTCGCATTTAAGCACCAGGGGTGTGTTTGGAAATGCTGAGGCACGTGCTGCTCAGCAGGCCTGGATGCCCGGCCCTTAAACGCCCCCCACAACCCAAAGCTGCCCATGGATCCATCACCCTGCCAGCACACCAGGGATGCTGTGCATCCCGGGCAGGAGTTTGCCAGCAGGACCCCTTTTCCAGGGCTACATGTTTGGGGGTGGAAGGGAGCATCATTCTGGGGCTGCTGAAACTCAGGCTTCTTGCAGCGAGATGTCATCGCTGGCAGTTTGGGGGGGGGGAATAGGTGCAAGTTGCCCTCATGTCCGTGGGGTGATTGTAAGGGTCTGGCTACAGGGCTGGACACAGCTGGGGGCTCCCAGCAAGAGCTGAACCTCCCTTATCCCCCCTCACAGGCTCGAAGTTGGGATGTGGACATGTCTCACACAAGGCAAACACCCAGTGAAGGCACCACAGACCCGTGTCCCCACCACCGCCTCCCTCCACGCTCCAGCTCTCACAGGCAGGATGGATTATCGAAGCAGTTGTGGCACTGCAAGGCTTTTCACTGCTTAAAACTCTCCTGTATCCTGCACACTTATATTCCAGGTGCCAGGAGTCCTAGAAAGAGCGGGAGGTAAGTGGGATCTCTCTGCTCATCCATCCCTGCTCCTGCCCGAGGCAAGCCACCGTCACAGCCTCTGTGGAAAGGGTGCAAGCGTGGGGGTATCCAAGCATTTCATTCCTCAAACTAAATCCTCCCAGTTAGCACCTGGAACTTGCACTTTTTAATTACTCTCTCAGGGAAGCTTTAGTCAAAAGAGACGAAAAAAGAAAAAAGGAAGAAAGGAAGGAGACATCTCCTCTACATTAACTTGCTCTAAAGCTCCCTGGGGATGCAGAGTGGCATTTTTCCTTCTTGAGTTTTAAAAGAGGAACTTCTGCAAAGAATTACAGATTCAGCAGCGATTCAGGAGCCCACCTCCTGCCCCCACCCTCGCTGGCACCCCACCATTCTCCCTTCACTCACAGCAAACCCAGTCGGCAACACCTCATCATTCCCATGCCCTGAGTGTCCCTCATGGGGCAGAGCTGACCCCATTTGCCAGGTATTCCCAAATTCACACTTGTTTTGGGTTCCCTTTTGGGTCCAGTGCCTTTCCAGGGCAAACCCAGTGTGTTTAAGCGTACCTGTGGCACTCTGGCACAGCAGGTGATGAAAGGCTGGGTTAGAAGCAGCAGCACTGCACGAGGTGGTGCCCTCAAGCAAAACTGTGGAGAGAACTGCCACGTGCAAAGGCCCTAAAGAGCCTGGATAATCCAGCCTTGCTCCAAAAGCATACCCAGCACCTCTGGGAGATGGGTAGCAAGTTTGGAGGACACCACAGGTCAGGAAAAAGGAGGAACTGCAGCTCATTGCTTTTACAGCCTGCTGGAAAAAGATTCAAGGGCCCCCTTTCTGCAAACAATACTTTATCATCAAGAAAAAAAACCTGGTTCCCAACTTAACACTTTCTGCAGGAGGCTTACCATTTTTTGATGAAACCCCCCAAAAAAGAAGAGAGGAGATGCTTGCTAGAAACTCTTAAGGCATTTTGCAGACACCAGTGAAACAAAATCTATCTTTAAATACAGTAAAAAAATAAGGAAAAAACCATCAATTTTTTAGCCTTTAAATTGATTAGTCCCACTGAGGAGTGTTTTAAAAAGCTCTCCTTGCCATCGCCCTGCCACCAGCCAGGGCACCCTCCCCGAGCCTTTCAGCTGAGAGACACCATCCAGGCAAATCAACACCCACACGAAATTGTGTGCTACAGAAAAATGGCATTTAGAGGATGCTGTGATTACAAGGGCAGGCACTCGGGCAGCCGGCATGGCTTTCCAGAGCTCCCAGCACGGCTTTCCAGGGCTCCCGGCACAGCTTTCAAGGGCTCCCGGTACGGCTTTCCAGGGCTCCCGGCATGGCTTTCCGGGCAGTGCCGGGAGGGGGGACTGGTGACACCTCGGGCCGCAACACAATCGATGCGTTTGCATTTCAATCCCTTTGATATGATGATGACAGCGGGATGCGGCTGCAGCTTGGGGGGAAAACCAGCAGAATCAGGCAGGTTGTCACCCACAAGTGGAGGGGGGGGGCTGGGAAGGGGGGCTGTTATCTCCCTACCTTCAAAGGGCCACGAGGGCGCTGCCTTCCCACCCCACTTTCATCTCCCTCGTTATCCTCCCTGCAAACATCCAAGCAGGGAACGGGAGCCTGTTGCCAGAGGTTTAATTGCATCCCTACATGATGCTCTTCTGTCATCCCTTCCCTCCTGCATCTCTGCTGGGGAGAGGCTTGGAGGGTTGTTTTGTGAGGTTTTCCCCACACACACTTCTACTTTTTAATGATCCAATTCCCTTTTATATCAAGCCAAGTGCTTTTCCGGAGTGTCTCAGCCCCGGCACGGCCGTGGCGAGCTCAGCAGGCAGCCGGCAGTGCCGGGGGTGCTGCCGTGCCACCCCCCAGGAGAATCCACAAATTAATCCAGAGAGGTTTCTATATCGGGAGTGACTCCACACTCCAGTGAGGAGGGGTGGGAGGGTACCTGCATCCAACCTTCCTGACCACACCAAGAAAGGAGAACAGGATCAGACCCGGCCCTGAAACACCCCATCAGCCACCAAATCCCGACATCAAGTTCTAGTACGGCGAGGAGAGCGACCCATATGGAGAAACAGGTAAGTCCAAGCATTCCCAGCCTAAAGTATCCTCACACTCCCAGTGAGATCAGCACATGTTCCTAAGCCAAGCCAGAAACCACAGCACCTTGGGGACAGGACACCCCAGCAGAGCCTTGTCCCAGGGAGGGATAAAGCCTCATTTTGGTGCAAACTTCACCATTTTTGCAGCCAAACGCACAAATTTTGCATCACCCAGAGATGCTCCTGCCTCGGGGCCGTCTGAATTACAAACAGCACCTGCCCCGTTGAGTTCCCTTCTTTCAGCACTGGGTAGGCAGGAACTCATGAGATAAACATGAGCTTCCCAGCATCTGGGCTGGAATCCTGCAGGCACTGGGCTCCATCTCCCCCCCGCTGCACAGAGGAATGCGTGACGCAGCCAGTTAATTAAACCAGCCCTCCACCTCTGGAGGAATGGGCTTAGATCTGCCTTGGGACACATGTAAATTAAAGCCAGAGGCTTCTGAGCCGGCCTGCCATGAGGAAAGGAAAATTCAGCGTGGTGTTACCCCTTCTCAGGGTTTTTCACTCCCCCCTCTTTTTCTTCTCATGGATGAGAAATGAATTGAAGCGGGGCAGGATTTCAAAGGTGCTTGCAGGGTAAGGAGCTGTGCGAGGCAGATTAGAGGCAACAGGGTTGGGTGCATCCCTATTCACTTCTCCCAAAAGAACCCATCCCTCATCAACCAGTGGAGCGAGGTGCTCACACAGACAGAGGTGCTCACAGACCAAGCCCCCGGTGCTTCACTGGAAGCAAAACACAGCTGATGCTCACCCAGAAGCAGTGCTTTTCCTCCAGGATGGCAGCCTTGGGAAAACTGAGGGTCTCTGGATACAGAAGAGCTTCAAAACCAACTGTTTAGGTGGAATCATGGCCCTAAACAAGGAGTTAAAGCCTAAAACAAGCCAAGGAAGCAGCCAGTTTGGGCTCCCACCTGCCCTGCTGCTCACTGCCTGCAGCTTCCCAACAGGTCCAAGCTCACCCACTTAATCACCACTCTGGGCTTCACTTTCTCTGTTTTTCATGGTTGGGGGGATTTTGAAGGTCTAAAGAAAAAGCCTGTCCCCGATCCATGTGCAAAGGGAAGAGCAGGCGCACCCTGGGCAGGCGGTGCCGTGGGGCTGCCAGCTCAGCACAGAGCAGGGAACTCGCTTTGCTCTCCAGAACAGCCAGCGGGGGGAAAACCTCGACGCTTCCCAAGGTGGCTTTTGCAAATCACTGTTCTCCCACTCGGGTTTTGCTCTGCTTTAGTTTCCACTTGGCTCCAGGCTGAGGCTGCCCAGTCCCACACCCACCAAAGCTTCCCTTCTTTTCCATAAACCATCAAATAGAGATGCCCAACCTTCTGCTCCAGCACTTTGCACGTGGAATCAGTGGTGGGACATGGCTGGTGGGCACGTGGCACAGCCTATGGAGAGTCCCCAGCCCATTTCCACTTCTCCATGGTGTTTTCTCACAGAGGGAGGTGTTGCAGGGAAGGATGAGGTCGGCACTGCCTCTCCGAGCACCCACTGCCAGTCATCAAACTAAATAATTTGATCCAACTCCAGACAATTCCCACACATATGCAGGGAGGTTTACAGCAGACATGTGGCCATGGCAGTAATAGGCACAGGCTGCTCCTCATCCTCCTAACTCTGTCCAAGCTCATTATTCTGAGTCAACAAATGAAAAAGGGGGATGAAGTTCTCAGCAATGATTTGAGGCTATTTAACCTCCTTATATTCTTCTTTAAAAACAGATCTAGTGGCTGCAGCCTGCCACAGGCTCTTCCTTCTGCCAGCCTTGCAAGCAGGAGCTTCCAGGGCCTTAAAGGGGCTCCAAGAGAGCTGGAGAAGGACTTTGGACAAGGGCCTGGACAGACAGGACAAGGGGCAATGTCTTCCCACTGACAGAGGGCAGAGTTAGACGGGATATTGGGAAGAAATTCTTCTCTGCGAGGGTGATGAGGCACCCAATGAGTTTGGAGCAAACAGCTGGGGGATTAAGACTCAGGCCAGGAACTGTCCCAAAAACACAACCCCAGAGATGCTCTACCCTCACCCCAGGCGTTGGGCTCCACGGAGTGAGAGATTTTCCCCCCCCCGAACTGCAGCAACGTGAGACTCCAGAGCCGATGGACACGGACTGGAAGCCACGTGGAAGAGCCAATACTTCCATGTTCCACTAAACCCAGCACATCATGTTCACTCCTCAACGCCGACGTGAGCTATCGAGCCACTTAATGAGCAGGGAAACAAGCCAGCACGGAAACTCACGGAGGAGCTCGGAGAGCAGCTCTTCCCCCAGGCACAGAGGTGCAGGCAGGGGCTGTGCTTGGAATGCCCCTGAAAACGATGCACCTTTCCTTAGCAACCAGGGATTTTGGAAACCACTCTGTAATTCCAGGCCCTCTTCTGACAGGGAAATGGGGCAGCACTGGGCTCCCCGAAGCACAGCCCCCTCCTGGTTGGGAAGCAAACATCTCCTGTTCCTAACAGGAACTAATTAAGGACCTTCTCCTCCTTCGCCAGCTCACGTCACACAGTGTCCCCTCGATCTAGACAACATCAAGTGCTCATTAATTACGTCTGAAGTGGTTCCTCGTTAGTGCTGACGCTGCAAAGGATGAGTCACCCCAGGATGGGGCTGGGGGAGAGCTTCAGCCGCAGGGCCAGGCTGGTGCTGCCGGGGCAGGGATGCCGGCATGGGCAGGGACACATGGACACACAGCTCCCCTGTGTCCGTGCCATGGCACTGGATGCCCCATCATGGAGCAGGACCCCTCCATCCTGGTGGAGATGAGCCTTGGGGAGCTGCAGTTTGGCTCACTGCTTAAGGACCACACCCAAGGCATGGGAGGATGGGTTTGCCACGGGAGGACGTCCCAACCAAGGCACAACTGCTCTGCCACATTCCTCATCCACCCCAAGAGTCCCAGGCATGGAATTAATTAGAAAAGTAATTAAGAAAGTTTCCCTATAAATATTTATAACAAAAGGAGCCATAATTACTATTCCTGAGAGGAAAGTTGCCTTCCTACCCAGCCACAGAGAGGACACACAGCACCAACCAGAGGGGTGACCTTTGAAAATCCCATCCAGCCAAACCATTTCATGATTCCATAATTCCTGCACCAGCTCACCCTCATGCTGCAGCAAGGAGCCAGGGCAGGAAGCCCCCAGACAAGGAAGGGACCTTCTACAAGTGGTGTGAACACTCTGGCACTGCCCATGTTGGTGCCACCACCAGGGACAGGAGAGATGTCCAAAGCTGCAGGGTGGGACAAAACCCACTAGCCCCACCTCTGAGCCCAGACAGCTTCTCCCGGCTGGAATTTCCACCCATGTCCCATGCCAGTGATAGCAACAAGAGGGCAAAAAAAAATTAGTCTCCTCCATCCTCAACATCTGCTCCACATAAGTCAAAGCCACCCGAGATTGCAGGGATTTACTGTATGTAGGCAGCTCTGGAAGCTTTTCTTAGCTGCGAAACGTAATTTGCACCTTGGGCTCTCTAAGAATAAGTTGTCTTCAATAATAACACAGAATTAAGAGCTCAGGAGCAGATCTGACATGGAGCAGGAGATCTGTGATAAGCCCAGGTCTCACCCTGTCACCCTCATCCCAGCACTGCCATCCCTGCTCGCCTGCTGTGCTGGAACAGGTGCCTGTGGTGGAACCCAGAGATTTGGGTTTAGCCAGAAAACAACAGACCCTGGAAATGCCCAGACAGCCCAAGAACCTTTTTGCTGTGCCCAGGACCATTTCCAATTCCCCATTTTGCACTAGAGCAAAACCCACAAGCATCAAAGTAATCCCTGCTCCTGAGGAGGGTGATCAGATCCCTCTGCACCACAGAGGGGACATGTGTGCCAGTGTGCATCAACCCAGCCCAAAGCTATGTCCAGGGCAGGTCTGCATGGATCTTATTTTAATAAAAAACAAAGATGATATCATGTCTCACCTCACAGGTAAGTTACCCTCTGCGCTGCAGAGCAGCCAAAGCTGAGCGAAATTCAATTTGTAATGCCCTGGGTACATAATTTCCCAGGAATCCCTTGCATTTAAGGAGAAGTTTTAGGCAGCAAAGTCCAGAAACCAGACCTGAGGCTGAACCCCCCTGGTGTGGCACACACTGTGGCCCAGGTTTCTCAGCTCTCCCCCAAAACAGCAAGGAGGTGGCAAAGTTCTGCCTGCACCAAGCAGAGCTTCATCCCAGAGAGGCCTTGGGGACGGAAGAGATGGGACAGGACAAGGACA